TTGGTTAAGAACGGGATTCCCCGTTCTTGGATTACTATAATCCCCAATATATGAAGGCTAGTTTTTCATCCCCCAACTCATCAACCAACAGGGGTGGATCGCAGCCACCAAGAACCTGGGGTTGGAAATGATTATATCAATGGATTGGAGTAAGGGAACATTGGAACCGGAAAACCCCATGATCTTCATGGGAACATCTATGGTTTCCGGTTCCAATTTTCCCTTAAACCAATCCATTGATTATATAACCAACTGGCTTATCAATCAATCCATAGCATTGCATATTCCATTCCATGTATTACTAGTTACTCGTTGAAGGTGGGGGAAAATGTCAATCCCTAATCGATCACCCCCCTAGCGCCTACAGCTGTTTAATCATTGCAATTGGGCGGTACCATTCTGGTAGCAAATGAAGCTATTTCCCAAAATACGACCCCACCAAGCAGCTGGTTTTGGCAAATCCATGAGCGATTGCCATTACTGGATGGATGACCATAGACCCTTTACATACGTATATCAGATTAAGTTGGTTATGAATATACATATGCATATGTAATTACATATATATACATATACATAGATATATATATATATCATACATATATATGTATATACATATACATATCTATATACATACATATATATATACATACATACATACATACATACATACATTACATTACATTACATTGCATTACATTACATTACATTGCATTACATTACATTACATTACATTACATCCATCCATCCATCCATCCATCCATACATACATACATACATATATATATATACACATATATATATATCATACATATATACATATATATATATATACATACATACATACATTACATTACATTACATTACATTATATTACATTACATTACATTACATTACATACCATACCATACCATACATTACATTACATTACATTACATACCATACCATACATTACATTACATTACATACCATACCATACATTACATTACATTACATTACATTACATTACATACATACATAATATATATATATATATATATCCATTACATTCCCCCTTTTTGTAGATCCCTATCTTATCATTGTATTCAATCCATCTAATTTGACCACGGCACAAGTCCTTCATGGCAGCTCCAGACTGAATCACCCCTGAGGTCATAGCATTTAGTCCGAAAGATTCCCAATAAATTCGTTGGGCTTATGAAGACACCCCTGTGATCATCAACGAATCGATTGCTTTTCATTGCTCAATTGGTTGGGTTTGTTGGGTTTGTCTGTTTTTCTGGACCTAAATCCATTGGTTTGTCATCATTTTCTGTCTTCAAAAATGCCATTTTCATTGGGGGTACCCTCTGGTTATGTCAAAATAGCTATTGAAAATGGCCCAGTCGAAATAGTGGATTTACCCATTAATAGCATGGTGATTTTCCATAGTTATGTAAACGTTTACCAGAGGGTATCCAACAAATTATCAGACACGCCCAGCTATGATATCAAGTTGGTGATACATTGCGCTACAGTATTACCCCCCCATTACTGTATTCACCTACTATATCCCAGTGAGAACCTCCAATATATTTGGGATAGTAAACTCCCAAGCTTTTGGTCACTGCTCAATTGTTTCAGCCATCATCCAGCTTAGCTCAGCTGCTTCTGCACTTGTTTCAGCGGCTTGTGCTGGTGCTGCAGGCGTCTCCTTGCAAGTCGGCATCGCCCGCACCCGGAAACTGCTGCCCATAGTTGGCTAAGTTGGTTTATAAAATGTATATAACCAATGTGGTAATAGAGGGAGGGTAGCTGGTTACATCAACATGTTTCTTGGATACACAAAGCGTATTTGCACCTTGTTGCGTCGGCACTTTTGCTAGGCAAATCCCTACTTCTTTGCAATTCAGATCATCTTGTACTTGGCGATCTTTATATTCTACTGGTATATGGTCGTGTTTTATGCTTATACAGTAAACTCTCACACTCTGATATCTCATCTAATTGGCTACGATTATATATATGGTTTGTTTAACAAGGAGTTTTACAGTTTGACCAGCCCAGATAGGGTTTTCCCCATCAAAATCACCATTTTGGGATCTCCTCATTTTCTACAACGTCCCGCGGTGGGTCTTCGCCAAGTACCCCTGTGCCGGATGCGCGAGTCAACAGGAGACCGCTCCAAGAGTTCCAAATGGAATGGATTCACTGGAGTTTTCTTCAAAAACCATCAGGTCCTTCCACGGCCCCCAATTTACGGCTGGAAAGCTGTAGGGGGTGCTGATTGGTTGCTGTTGTGGCGGGCTGCTGACAGCCCTGATCTTGAGTCCCTGGATCCGGACCATCCTCACAAAGATTTTGTTGAATCTGTTGGAGGCCGACGGGCGGCCCAGGGTAAGAGAATTGACTGGACAAGATCGGTTGCAGCCCTATCGCGGGTGATTGCCCGTCACGTCAGCGCCACTCAAAGCGAGCTTGACAGGACGAAGCCTCACATACTTTGTTCTGCTTCTTGTTTCCCTGACTTGCCTCTACTTGACTTTCACTGTGAGCTAACTGAAGAGCACCAGCTTCTAAGCGAAGCGAGGGCAATTGGGCAAGCCCGTCTTCCAAGAAAAGCCGAGCTACCGCGATACTGCGCCACCGGCCCAGAAACCAGGATGGTTTCAACTGGGACACCTGCCTGTAGCAGATAGGTGGCGCCACCACGCCGCATCGAATATGGCTTCATCAGCAGGCACTCAACATGGAAGAACTCACACATGCGGCGGCACCTCCTCCTGCACCCAGTCAGCCGCGAAGTTCGTGATGAACGTTTTGCAGTCGATGGTCACGCCAATCTGGGTCCAGTCTGCAATCATGTGGGTCATGGAGTGGACGCAGGATCATCGTGCCCTTTGGGTGGTCCAGGTGATTTTCAAACACACGCTTCAACCTTGTGTCCCAACATTCTGCCAAAACCTAATTTCAATGGTAATTTCAGGATCCTAAAATGGAGGTACTGTACCATTTTCAGGCCATATTTTGTGGTGATATTCACTTACATAGGCCTCAAAAATAGGCCTTATAAATGCTAGGTACCTCCATTTTAGGATCCTGAAATTCCCATTGATCTGGGGTTTGGTCATCCAACCGTCATGAATGGGATTCCCCAAAAACTAGGTATCTAAATCCCTCTGAATGGATTGACGGATTTGTCTTTAAAAAAACCAGGCGACCAAATTTCATGGTGCACATTTTCCCAATTCCAATGGCCATATCGGGTAAATCGGGTGCCCGAAATCTCCTCCGAAAGAGCAGGGCCGGAGTCCTGCCCGGGGCCGACGATTGATGGTTTCACCCAGAAAAAAATGACAACTGAACAGGGGATATAGCATGATTGGGGGCTATATATTTTCATATGTTTTCATATATTTTCCAAATCCACACATATATATATATATATATATTTCCATATTTTGCTTGTAACCCATTATGTGGTCTAGCCTCTGGTAATTTAATAGCTTTCTATGAATCATCATATTTGACTGCAGTAAATCATCGAGATAAATGGGCAATTTTTCAGAGCTATGTGAGTTTATTCTTTGGCGTATCAATAATTGGGAGGTTATATCCACAGTTCCATATGTATATATATATATATTATGTATTTCCACATATTTTCATGGGATAGAACTCATGATAAGAATAGGAATTGAAAATGAAAGGAGCCAAGACAAAATCAAGGTTTCTGGGATGGTAAGGGGTTTCGCTGGTCAATCCACGGAGAGATTCATTGATTTGTACAGCCTCGCAGAACTGCGAAAAACGGGGTTGATTCTTATTGGCTTTACCACATTACCTTTTGATATCTCGCGCTATAAGAACTCAGTATTCATTTACCCAATCAACAAATACCCTCTGGTAAACTAACATAGCTATTGAAAATGGCCCAGTCGAAATAGTGAGTTTTCCCATTAACAGCATGGTGATTTTCCATAGTTATGTAAACGTTTACCAGAGGGTAGATGTATAAATAATGTATAAAGTATACATATCTGATACTTCCCAAAAAATGACCAGCATCCCCTTGAGCCCGGCGAGCGGTCCGGACCGCTGCCCGGCCCGCTCTTCTCATCTTTCCTGGGGTGGGCTGTTGAGCATCGATCCCAATTGATCCAACGGTCTGATTGGTGTTGAAACATGTTGAAATACTGTGGATGGTTGCCAAATCCTGCACCAGTTGATAGGCTGTTTATCCCATTATTTATAGGGTTTCAACCATTCAAGGTGGTGCAGGATTTCTTCCATCCACTGTATGTTGAAATTCTGGCCGCATGATTGTGACTCAGAAAATTCAGTTGCAAGATTATTTGAAAGCAACCAATTTTAAGTTGGCTCATGAAGTCTTTTGCCAAACCCACACTGTCAGCCTACAATGGGTCTTGATCACAGATGTCCCATAGTTACCCAGCTTAGTTGGCTTATAGCAGGCTTAACAAGGCTTTTACCTGGCGATAACTATACTTGGATGAGTTTATTCACCAACTTACCCTTTGGGAGCGCCACCTTATTGGTATGGCAACGTTTTCAAATGGGGTAGCAATGGCGAATTTTGACCCAAGCCCCTTCAGTAGCTGTGAAAAAAAGATCCAAACTCTTATCTCTAAAAATGGTGTACACCCCAATTTGTGGCCATTTAATCCATTTACCCATCGAAACTGATGAACCGATTTTAGGGGTACCACATTTTCTGGCAAACCCGATATCATATTGTTGGTGGCAATTGCAGTAACATCCCATCCTTGTTTACCATTTTTTTGAAGAATCGAACTATCCTGTTGGGGCATCACAGATGATTTCATGTGAGTATTTTCTTTACAATCAACTCTTTGTATCACTGAATTCAACAATTGAATCTGGGTAAAGCATCTGTAAAGAATATGTGTTTTACATTGTTTTACTAATTTGTTGCAAACACAGACACAAAACACTGACTTTGATTTTTCTCCAAAACATACAAAATAGCAGGCCCTGTTTCAGCCCAGGATCTTGTATGAAAAAAACTCCGCGGCATGTGTCGCCGTTTGCGCCGCATAAAACTCCGCCGCGTGCGTCAAGCGCGTGAAGGACGTCGTCGTGTCAGCGGACGGGGACGCGGGAGCAGCTGGTGTAGGTGCCTTGGCAGATGGCGGGGCAAGCAAGGACAAACAGAAGGTGCGTGACCAATAGAAATGGGATGAAATGGGTATGTCACCAGCAATTCTTGTGAGGATAAGTTATGTAATGTGGGTACAATAATAAGCCACGCATGACTGGGAATGGTAACCATACCACCTATAGAAATCGTGACTGGGGGATGGTGCAAATGACATTGTTTCACCCAGATTGATTGCTATATGGGTATGGGTCAAAATTAGGTACCCCAAAATTATGGATGGTTAATACTAAACTAGACTAACATCTGTGGTCCCCTAGGTTTTCCATTTTGACCCACATCCATATTTACCAATGCAACTTGGATGAACTGGTCGGTCCCTGTCCGCCTTTGCTGAATCATTGGCACCTTGGATCATTTACCCATGACGGATCCTAACGGTGCTGCTATATATGGTACCCTCTGGTAAACAGCCACGTAACTATGGAAAATCACAATTTTTAATGGGAAAATCCACTATAAATGGTCATTTTCAATAGCTATGTTAAATTACCAGAGGGTAACATGGATCCCATCAATATACCCCCTTTATGTTAGCATATATACCAGCACCAGCCGGATCCGTCATGGGTTACCAACTCCGTCGCAGGCTGAGTTGAGCCCTGCTTCGAAGGTCACATTACTGGTCATCTTCCGCGAATTGTTGCCATGGACATTGGCAAGGAGCAAGGTGTCAAGTCTTGCCTACGGGGAACACAGTTCATGCCCCAAGATTGCTCAGCAATCTTGTCATCGTGTTATTCCTCGCCAAAGTCAAAAGGTCAAAATGATCCGCCTATGTGATGCGTCTGGCAACAGGCCTGGGATAACCCAGTGGGTTATCCCAGCGACCTGTCTTGACAGGAAACAGATCTAAAAATCTCACACCAATACATACCAGTTAGATTCAACTACCATTGTTTTATGGGCACATCACATTGGATTACCAAAGGGTCTTGATCAAGACCCCAACAATTTCTCAGCAGAACCACTGTATCTGGTAGTGACCAGCTCCCGACCAACATCGCTATCATCAAGTTAAGTTCCACCCAATCCGCAGTGACAGCTCTCTGGGTAAACCTAATAATCAACCTTTTCCTGGATTAAAAACCACCAGATGCTACAATTCGATAGAATATATTCCTTGGATTTCCTTGGTTATTACCCCAACTACCAAAAACAACGTTTTGCCCAGTTGCTTCGCATGACACTTCCAGCTCCTTGGGAACTTTCTCGGCTTCGACTTTGGCTTTTTCGGATCGCTCATCCTGCCAGTCGTGATCCCTAGGTCTGAAATTTGGATCCCCAGAAGGAACTGTGGCCATCATCTAACATGACACACAGATTGCATTGAAAAGTGCATGCAACATTTGAAACACTGGAGCCTCTCTTCTAGGAACATCATCCCACATTGGAACTCATATTTCTTCATAGCCACAATATTCCCCACCTTTTGGATCAGTGGTCACCAGCCGGGGCGCTTCACCAGCAACCCGGCCGGGTGTTGGAGTCACATCGTGCCACAACTTCAGATCTTCTCGCTTTGGACCCACGGCCAGAACAAGCCTCCATGATGGTATACCATCTGGTTATGACTAACCACTAGGAAAATGGTGATTTTCTATGGTTAACAATGGTGAATTTCATGGGATGATATGGGATATTACCATCTGGTTATGACTAACATAGCCATGGTATAGATGGCCCATAAAAAAAGATGGTTTACCGAACTTAAACATGGTGATTTTCCATGTCGAACTGTTAGTCATAACCAGATGGTATAACTTCCTACTCATCACCCAGCTTCTGGTCAGTTCTCACGGAGAGACTTACACCCGTATTTTTGATGGTAAAACCAGTATTTAACTTACTGGTGCTAAACGTAGGGAATGATCCAATCCATAACAATTGTCATCATCATCCCATTCCTCCACTAGGCACCAGTCATGTTCAATTGGACAACACCGTGGGGTGCTGCTGGTGTCCCCCGTTGTGTGTAAGAAATCCCGGGGCCTGGGGGGTTCGGAAAATCACCAAAATAAGGGTTTCTTCATTCAAGGTTGGCTTAAAACTAGATTAATTGTTGGGTTTTGTTTATACAGTACCATCTGGTTATTTAACATAGCCATGGAAAGTCCCTAAAAATTGAGGTTTCTAGCTGGGAAAATCATCTATTTCTATGGGCCATCTATACCATGGCTATGTTAGTCATAACTGGAGGGCTCCTCATTGTGGGGATTCCATGGGATTCCCATGGGTTCTTCAGAATCTGAAAAAAGTATGACCCCCTCGAATCAAGGAATGGGCCAGCGCTTGATGAACTTCCCCATAGAATTTTCACCATATTTCTGGGACCAAGGGTTGACACCAATTTTTTTTAAAGCCTAACTTCCTGCAGGTTTTTTTTCACAACTATTTCCCTGAGTCAGTCAGGCTTTGCCCCACCCAGGTGCTTTCTGAACGCGGGAGGTTGAAAGAATCGCCGTCTGCGCTGGAGTGACGTCCTAGCGCTGGGTCGTTGGAGAGGGATAAGGACCAGGAGCTAATGTGTAATGATTCAAAGGGATTAACATGTGACTTAATATATCATACAGGTTATATGAATTAATATTACATATTACACATATATATATATATTAATCCCTATATATCACATATATCAACAATATATATGATTTTTGCGATAGGTTTTTAATATGTAATTGCCTAGTAGGGGATTAACAATTTAGGGAAACATCTTCGTGGACATTAATGCTGGTCCAACTCTCTGGTGGGAGGTTTTATGGCATAGCATTTCAAATGGCCATTTCAATCAGGATAAGAATGATATTGTATTTATCATATATTATGTATTATATATATTTTATATTATATAATCATATATATATATATATGAATACATATATATATATATATATTTAATGACTATATATAAAATGATTAATCACTGGATTTTGGGGTAGTCCATTTTCAGACAAACCCATCGGCCCAGCGGACTGTTTGACTGAGGTGACGTGTGGTTGAAGATGGCTAGCAAAACACCACCAGAAGTAGGAGCCACATAGGAGGAATCGAGTATGCTACCCTCTGGTAAACTGTCCCATAACTATGGAAGGATCCACCATTTTTCATGGGAAAATTCACTATAAATGGTGATTTTCCATAGTTATGTTAAATTACCAGAGGCTATCGAGTATGGTGGATTTCCACCTGGCTCACGAGAAGCAATTCCCACAATGATGGCTTCTCATGAAATCAGCCAAGACCATGGACCATGGGTATTCAGTCAACCCTCCAATAAAAAAACAGCCACGACACATGGTTAACTAAACCATATAAAAACCCTATAAAATGTGGTTGTTTCAATGGCCATTCTAGGATCCTAAATTGGAGGTACCTACCATATATAAGGCCTATATAAGGCCTATTTCAGGGAATATCCCTGCAAAATATGGCCTTATATGGAACAGTACCTCCAATTTAGGATCCTGGAATTCCCATTGATTGTTGGTGGTTAATAAACCCCAAACGCATCTTGGGCGGATCACCCAAGAGGGAGTGCCTCCCAAACAGATTTTCATATGGGGATAGGTCAAAACCCACCAACTCTGCGTCGAAGTTCTGTTTACATCAAAACAGCTGGGATTTATGGATGTTCATCCCCCTAACAAATGATACCCTCTGGTAAATTAACATAGACCCTGGCAGTCCTCGGGGTTGGTTCAGACTAGTTTCCATTAAACATTGGCTATTTTCAGGGTCAACAAGTTAATTTACCAGAGGGTATCAGGTATTGATCCACCATATTTCACCATGGAACTTACCCGCTAGCCGCAGGCTTGTTGCGATATGGGGCATGTGGCGCTGGAGCTGCAGCCCCGGCTGTTTTAAAGGGGGGCGATGGAAAGCGGGCGACAGACTGATGGAAAGCAAGTGCCACAACAAGGTGGTGCCGCCCCCAGGTATAAATAGGTTATAAAAAACGATGAAAACTATAGATATATCACCATTCATGGGTTATAAATGGGTTATAGACGGGTTAGAATCACTATAATAATGCCATAAATGGATTATAATCCCATTAAACTATAGATATATCAGCTATAAACCTTAGTTATTGGAGTTATTTGCACCAACTTAGCTATCTGGGCACCATCTTGCATCAATGGAAGGGTAGCATGAACCCTTGACCTTGACATAACATCGGTGCACGCGGTGCGGCCCGGTGCCATGATGCCATGGCCTGATACTTCAAACTCCACTCCAAGGTCTATGGGATATCCTCTGGTAAATTAACAGTTCGCTATGGAAAAATCCACCATTTTTCATGGGAAAATCCACTATTTCGACTGGGCCATTTTCAATAGCTACGTTAAATTACCAGAGGCTACAAATTTCCAGACAATGGCTGAACGCCACAAAATGCCACCTTCGAACGTGACTCACGTCGCTCAGCTCCCGTGGGACGAACGCTCAGCACAGATCCCACAGGGGAAATTCCAGACCGACCTCGAGGAGAATCTCTGCGAATCTTGCCGTGTTTGCCTGTGCTTGGATCTCCCAGATAATCATTCGTGCTGCCATTTTGCCAATGCGCTTGCGGTTTTTGGCAGTAGATCATTGTTTTTTGCCAAGACATAATATCCAATGTTTTCCCAATCAAGCAGCATTTTTTCCGAATAAATCCATTTCTATTGCGAATATATCAATCAATTCTTTAGCCAATAAATCAACTTCTTTTGCCAATAAAGCCATAGTTTGTGCCAATGAAAAATTCTCGGAAATCATCGACTCCACATTTTTTGTCGCCAATGAATCCATACTTGGGATGTACAAATGGGGAAGAACATGATTATAAACCCCAAAAAGTTGGGATATGGGGCCCCTATAACTACGCTGACAAGTATCCACTTATAATTGGAACTGCCCTTCCAAGTACTCAGTCAATTTCTGTAGTGTAAGTTGATTGAAATCACTGTTGGTTTACCAGGGTTTATTGTATGATTATCTGGTTAGATGTGTTTATAATGTTGGTAAAACAATAATAAACAATACCCAATTTCACGATTTTCATAGGTGGTATGTTTACCATTCCCAGTCATGGGTGGTTTATGGCATTGTTTTACCAGCATTATCCCACTTGTATATATACTTATGCAACAATAATAAGGTGTAATCAATATGAAACACTATCATCCCATTTTGCAAGGGTAAGTATATGGTATATGTTTATAATCCTTGAAATAATATCCCAAAAACATATGTATTAGATATAGATACCTATATGGGATAGGAATCTCACCAGGATTTAGATCATAAACACATAAACACTTCACCTGGTATCCTCAATATTCAGCATGGCGTTAGAAACCAGTAATCCTCAAGAAAATCACTTGAGCAGTGTGCAAAAAAAACCTCTGTCATTCCATTATATATACTGGCTGGTTAAGAACGGGATTCCCCGTTCTTGGACTACTATAATCCCCAATATATGAAGGGTGGTATAATCCCCCAACTAATCATCAACCGACAGGGGTGGATCGCCACCTCCATCACCTCACCAGGAAGGGGCTGTGGCTCCTGTCATCCGACGGGGAATTCGAGTGGGGGATCTTTTTTTTTGGGGAAGGGATGATGTCAGTCACGTATTCTATTACATTATATGTATATATATATGTATATATATATGTATATATATGTATATATATACATATATATTGCAAGAGAGTCATGATATCATGAGAGCATTCCTCGCTGAGGCCAAGCGCTATGAGGTGTGTGCAACACCGTGAAGGCCTTTGTGTCGATCGCCGAAGCAGCAGAGCGGTCACAGCGAAAACAGTGTGTAGGATGTGTAAGAGCGCGGAAATGTGCCTCGATGGCACTGGCAGTGTCCTCTGCTCGATAGTCAGAAATTGGGGCGCAGCTGTCAAAGATGCCGTGCGCGAGCCCGCGACTCGACCGGAACAAAGGCAACGGGTACAACTGCCCGTGCATCTGCGCCCGGCGTTGTATCCTCCTGTATTCGTCTTGGTTGGAGCATGGCAACGTTGTCGTTGCGCGGTTCTCGATTTTCGGTTCCACTGATCCACCGTCCGTGGCATTGGTGGTCAAGTTTCACGTGTTTGTGACCCAAGTTTCACAGGGGCTATATATATATATTAATGTGATATGTGATATAGGTAGGGAATATGACATAAGAATCAAACTTTTGGGGTACCCACTGTCAACCAAATCCAAACCATCAGCAGAACTGGGTGACTATCTCAACTTTTTCCTGGGATCTGGGTATTCGTACTATTGGCATACCAACCCAGCCTCGGATGGAAAGATTGAGCCACCAATACGGAATGAGTTGAGGGGGTCACAAATGGCTGTTTACCCACCACAACAATACTACACAAGCAGGTGACATGTTGCATTTGAAAGTGAAAACGTAGCAAAATGATGAGCTACTTCTCTGTCTTTCTCAGGATAGCCGTGCCACCATTGCTCTTCTGGTTCTATGTGTCAATTTCAAAACACCATTTAGCCATAAATTCAATGATAATTCCAGTTTCCTAAAATGGAGGTACTGTGCTATACAAAGCTATATTTCGGGGGTATATACCCTTCCATAGTCCTAAATATTGGCCTGATATATGGTAGGTAGCTCCAATTTAGGTTCCTGAAATGGCTGTTGACAGTATAATTCACAATTATGCTTAAATTCTCTCCCAATGATGCCACTATGTTTATATGCTTGAAGATTATATCACCATTAGCTGACAATAAATTGGTGATAGGGGGCCCATTTTTCAGGTCAGCCATTGCGCCTGCAGCACTGGCGACTGGAAGATCTCTCTTTCCTTCGAAGATCGCTTTAACTTAGCTCTGGTAACGTGCCGGCAAGGGCCAATGCCATGTGACAAGTATGGGATCATGACAATATCGGAAAAGGTATAAAATGCTGATATTTGGAGCTATGAAATGTCTACATGGGGCGGCTATCCGTATGAGATATGCGATCTTCGGGCCTTGGGACCGCTGGAAATTGGTGCCGTAATGGGACGGTCATGGCTAAATCAAGCCATGTAGATATGTCGAATGTGAAGCATGGTAAACTTAGTAAATGCTCATCAACTGAGCTTTAGTAAGCGCCATCGTTAGTATCACAACTTTGAGTAATTGAACTGGTTGGTGGTTGACCTACCCCTCTGAAAAATGATGGAGTTCGTCAGTTGGGATGATGAAATTCCCAATATATATATATATATTATATATATATATTATATATATATATTATATATATACATATATACACATACATATATATATATATTATATATTATATATATATATATATTATATATATATATATTATATATATTATATATATATCACATATTATATATGGAAAGTCATAAAATTCCATGGTTCCAAACCACCAAGCACTATCTATCAAGGGCACATTTTTTCGAAATGTCTGCCATCCCGCTGCCCAGTCCTCAGGCGTGTCCGAGTCCTGGGTGCCATCACAAGGTGGTGCCCCATAGTTAGCTAAGGTGGTGCCTGGCTGAGTCCAAGTTCACTATGGTTTACACTTCGTGAGCTAGGTTGGTGCCTTTAAAAGTCCAAGTTCACGATGGTTTTTGTTGGTGATATATCTATCATAACCAATTTATTGGCTTATAATCCCATTTATACAATATAGTTTTCATGGGATTACAAGCCATTCAAAAAACTGGGTGGGTCACCACCTTGCAGGATTGTGACCCAAACAGCCCAGTTACAAGGGTGGTATATTGGGTACATCGGTAATGTCACCCCTGGATTAATAAACCCCAACAGTAGGCTGTTTCATTGGGAGGGTACCATAAAAAAGTATCAGATTATATCAGATGAAATGACTATTGGAGGAGTGACCCCCTAATTTTCATAAACCATGGTTTAGCAAAATCCGCAGTTGACATGATCATGCATGATCCATGTACCCCTCTGGTGGCTATCATTTACCTATGATGACTTGGGGCAACCCCGCAGGCATGGGATAGAATGGAGATACCTAATGGGTGCCATGGGTAATGGAGATAACATCTGTATGGATACAATGGGGAACCACGATGGGGGTTGAAACTAAGTTCTATAGTGGGATATACAATGTTCACCACTATGCCGATATGCGGTTGTGCAAGCAGAGGGAATGCTTCAGTGATGAGTGGTAGGTGAAAGGGCATAGTAACAAAACTAAAGAGGCAATATTCGTAAATCATAAACTTAAATTTGGATGTCAAAAACTGAAGTGGAATTTTCTGGAACATTGGATAATTCATCGCCGATCTATGGCCAGTTAAAGAATCACTGAGCGATGTCATGGTTTTGCATGGGATGGGTGCAATTTTCCCCTGACAGATATTCAAGTAACCTCTGGTAATTTGTTACAGTTCGCTATGGAACATGGCCATATAAATAGTTGATTTACCCTCCCAAATTTCACAAGTCCTGCTTTTTTGGTGAAAGTTCATTCTAAGAAAGCGCCCATACTTTTTGAGGTACTTGTAAAGGGTGGATTGTCTCTGAGATGTGCATCACAGTTTCAAAACTGCATCAAGCGATTCCATAGTGAAGTGGCTGTATCCAAATAACCAATTTCGCTGGACAAATCTCTAATTCTCTATATATACTAGTTGGCCCAACCAGGCTCATATAGATTACGGCTATACCCGCGCCAACCACATGTGGCAATCCAAGATTTCGGCAATGTAGATGCGGGCAAAGCATGAAACGAAAAACAGCTGAAAACAAGTACAATTCAGACTGTCACAAAGGCAAGGGTATTTCTTTTAGGAGTTGGTGGTGATGGGGATCAAGAAACAGGAGATCCAGGACTCAGGTGGTGGCGTTTGGCCGAGTTTTGCTCATCGAAACTGTTTGCGCCGGGTGCAAGACATGTACAATTACAAAATGAAACCACGGATCTGCATCTACACCAGCTGAACTGAGGTATTATTCATATTTTTTATGTATCTGGTTTCGATCTACAGCACATCAATCACATCAAGCAAAAGCGTAAAACTGGGACTCGAATGTAAAGCATCAACAAAAGCTCAACAAATATAAGACACATCGGAACCCCGAGAATGCAAAAACTGGAGTTCTGATTAGACAAGAAGCTCATGAAACAGAACCCCTTGGATTCTTGATAGAACTAAATCAAAGAACATTAAGTTAATCAAATTTCCCTGAAGGCAATGTAATCAAAAAAATAGGGTTCCAAATTTTGAACTTGAAGGAAACATATAGGATTCCTCCAAACGACTTGCAAGGCAGAAAATGGACTGAACAACGGGTACTTTACAGGAAACTGCTTGCAGAACAACAATGGTCGTCCAACCCTGGTACGGATGAGCTTGAGTCTCAGACCTCATCAACACACCATTTCTTGAAATGACCCCAGATCCCGCTTACGAGTTCCATTGCATCCAGTGAGGACGGAACAATACCCCCAGGACACATGAACCCTCGGTAGGTGATGGCACTCAACACATCCTTTGCGGGGGTTCACCTAAGAGTTTTAAAACATTTCCAGAAGATAGAATTCGCCCAGCAAACGAAACCGAAAAAAAAGAACCTTCAATAAACTTAAATAAAAGAAAACAGTTCCAAAGAACATCTTTAAGCTCTCCCTGGGAAAACAAAGACTTCAAAGGAGAAATAACCAATGCGAAATCCGAACAAATCTCAAAGCTCCAGAAAAAACAAAGGATCCAAAACAAAAACCGGAAAAATATGCGCTTCAAAAATGCTGAATTCTTTTCTTATGTGCGGAGCTCTAAGAAGTAAAACACACCTAATATTGCGCAACTATTATGGTTGCAAACAAGATCTGGTCGTTCCAAAAAGTCACTTCTAGAATAACTCTGAAAAAAGAGAGTAAGGAAAGTACCGAAGAAAAACACAGTTTTTGGATGTAAAACATCTGAGGTTTCCTCAAAAACAAAACAGTAACCGAGAATCGACAACACTAATCCTTGAGAAAATCTGATCCAGAAAGTCAAAAAGCATGAACAAGAGAAACAACGCAGGCCCTGGTCCACGGAAATTTAAAGTCCCCCAAAGAAAGGAAGCCTATAAAATGAAGGCCTTTATCCGCAAAAACAAACACAATTCAACAACAAAGGTATTTAGAGTCAAGTGTTCCAGAAGAAAGGCATCTCTGAGAAATCCAAATATTTTGTTCATCAAAAAATCACTGCAAAAAAAAAAAACGAGCAGTTCCGGAAAAGGGCACGACTCATACTTTTTCGGGCCAAACATTACGTCAAACAAAGTATGGGTTCCAAGGTTCCAACAAAAAAATGTATGAGTTCCAAAAAAAAGGTTCCAAAAAAAAAGGAATTCATACTTTTTGGTGCCAAACATAGTGCCAATAAAAGTATGGGTTCCAAAAAAAGTATGAGTTCCAAAAAAAAGGACCTCATACTTTTTTCGGGCCAAACATAAGGCTCCAAAAAATTGAGTTCCAAAAAAAAAGAACTCATACTTAGTTTTTTCGAGCCACACATTGTGCCGAAAAAAGTATAAGTGCCAAAAAAAAGTATGAGTTCCGGAAAAAAAGGAACTCATACTTTTACGGGCCTAACATTGCACCAAAAAATTATGGGTTCCAAAAAAGAAATTCATAGTTTTTCGGGCCAACATACTGCCAAAAAAAGTATGGGTTCCAAAACAAAGGTATGAGTTCCAAAAAAAAGGAACTCATACTTTTTCCGGGCCCAACATAGTGCAAAAAAAAGTATGGGTTCCAAAAAAAAAGGAACTCATACTTTTCCCGGGCCCAAGATAGTGCCAAAAAAAGTATGGGTTCCAAAAAAAAAGGAACTCATACTTTTTTCGGGCCGAACATTGTGCCGAAAAAAGTATGGGTTCCAAAAAAAGTATGAGTTCCAAAAAAAAAGGAACTCATACTTTTTTCGGGCCGAACATTGTGCCAAAAAAAGTATGGGTTCCAAAAAAAAAGGAACTCATACTTTTGGGTACTTTTTTGCCGGTACTTTTTTTTCAAACAAAAAAAAAGTACCTGGAAAAACGGATTTTGCCGGTACTTTTTTTTTTGTTTGAACTGATTTTCAGTTCAAACAGAAAAAAAAGTACCGGCAAAAAAGTACCCAAAAGTATGAGTTCCTTTTTTTTTGGAACCCATACTTTTTTTGGCACAATGTTCGGCCCGAAAAAAGTATGAGTTCCTTTTTTTTTGGAACTCATACTTTTTTTGGAACCCATACTTTTTTCGGCACAATGTTCGGCCCGAAAAAAGTATGAGTTCCTTTTTTTTTGGAACCCATACTTTTTTTGGCACTATCTTGGGCCCGGGAAAAGTATGAGTTCCTTTTTTTTTGGAACCCATACTTTTTTTTGCACTATGTTGGGCCCGGAAAAAGTATGAGTTCCTTTTTTTTGGAACTCATACCTTTGTTTTGGAACCCATACTTTTTTTGGCAGTATGTTGGCCCGAAAAACTATGAATTTCTTTTTTGGAACCCATAATTTTTTGGTGCAATGTTAGGCCCGTAAAAGTATGAGTTCCTTTTTTTCCGGAACTCATACTTTTTTTTGGCACTTATACTTTTTTCGGCACAATGTGTGGCTCGAAAAAACTAAGTATGAGTTCTTTTTTTTTGGAACTCAATTTTTTGGAGCCTTATGTTTGGCCCGAAAAAAGTATGAGGTCCTTTTTTTTGGAACTCATACTTTTTTTGGAACCCATACTTTTATTGGCACTATGTTTGGCACCAAAAAGTATGAATTCCTTTTTTTTTGGAACCTTTTTTTTGGAACTCATACATTTTTTTGTTGGAACCTTGGAACCCA